AGGTTCAACCATAACATGACCTTGTCACATGACTATGGTTCATTGGTTCAACCATAACATGACCTTGTCACATGACTATGGTTCATTGGTTCGAACATAACATGACCTTGTCACATGACTATGGTTCACAGATTCAATCACCTTGGTTTTTGTTACATTGACATGGGTCATTGGTTCAACCATCACACAAGACTTTGTCTTGATGCTGCCATGTGTACAAAACATCTGTGTTTAACCATGACATTCATTTTTTCATTACATGAATAAGAGTAAAACATGAATTTCAGATCCATAATGCAAAAACATGTATATATATTTATATATATCTATAGCAACTGCTATCATTTAATGACAAGATCAGTCTAACTATATTTAACACATTGCGTACAAATATAACAAAGTTACATATAAAAATATAAGCAAAACATGTAATACGTAAAATCTACCAGCAGCAGAATCTCCTCCTCCTATTTAATCTGTGTAGCGACGACCACCAAGCTCCCACAGCTTATGTTCACCTAAATGATCAGGTAAAATATATATGTCCCGAGGACTACCCAGTGGCTGGCATAGTCGAGGTTGGCCCACTTCTCCAGGGTATGCTTCATTGTGTAGCCCTGTGTGGGGGAAAAGTTCTGTGAATTTTTTTTTTTTTTTTTTTTTAAATTTTGGTTAAACAACTTTTTAAAGAAAAAACTAGCCATCTTTTGAACAAATAACAAATATAGCACACTACAAAATTATTCATACAAATTATGTGTATTAAATAGCTTTTGGAATTATGAATTTTGACATACTGATGACTGTACTGGTTATAACCCAGAGAAGATGTTCCTGTCTTGTCATTTGTTCTGATGACTGTACTGGTAGTAACACAGAGAAGATGTTCCTGTCTTGTCATTTGTTCTGATGACTGTATTGACAAATAACCCAGAGAAGATGTTCCTGTCTTGTCATTTGTTCTGATGGTACTTATCATGTCGTGTCATTTGTTCTAATGGTACTAACCATGTCATGTCATTTGTTCTAATGGTACTTATCATTTCATGTCATTTGTTCTAATGGTACTTACCATGTCGTGTCATTTGCTCTAATGGTACTTACCATTTCATGTCATTTGTTCTGATGGTCCTTATCATGTCATGTCATTGTTCTTATGGTACTTACCATGTCATGTCCTTTGTTCTGATGGTACTAACCATGTCATGTCATTTGTTCTAATGGTTCTTACCATGTCATGTCATTTGTTCTAATGGAACTTATCATTTCATGTCATTTGTTCTGATGGTACTAACCATGTCATGTCATTTGTACTGATGGTACTTACCATCTCGTGTCATTTGTTCTAATGGTTCTTACTATGTCGTGTCATTTGTTTTGATGGTACTTACCATGTCATGTCATTTGTACTGATGGTACTTACCATCTCGTGTCATTTGTTCTAATGGAACTTATCATTTCATGTCATTTGTTCTAATGGAACTTATCATTTCATGTCATTTGTTCTGATGACTGTATTGACAAATAACCCAGAGAAGATGTTCCTGTCTTGTCATTTGTTCTGATGGTACTAACCATGTCATGTCATTTGTTCTAATGGTTCTTACCATGTCGTGTCAGTTGTTCTAATGGTACTTATCATTTCATGTCATTTGTTCTGATGACTGTATTGACAAATAACCCAGAGAAGATGTTCCTGTCTTGTCATTTGTTCTGATGGTACTTACCATGTCGTGTCATTTGTTCTGATGGTACTTATCATGTCATGTCATTGTTCTGATGGTACTTACCATGTCATGTCATTTGTTCTGATGGTACTTACCATGTCGTGACATTTGTTCTAATGGTACTTACCATGTTGTATCATTTGTTCTAATGGTACTTACCATGTCGTGTCATTTGTTCTGATGGTACTTACCATGTCGTGTCATTTGTTCTAATGGTACTTACCCTGTCGTGTCATTTGTTCTGATGGTACTTACCCTGTCGTGTCATTTGTTTTGATGGTACTTACCCTGTCTTGTCATTAGTTCTGATGGTGCTTACCCTGTCTTGTCATTTGTTCTGATGGTACTTACCATGTCGTGTCATTTGTTCTAATGGTACTTACCCTGTCATGTCATTTGTTCTGATGGTACTTACCATGTCATGTCATTTGTTCTGATGGTACTTACCCTGTCTTGTCATTAGTTCTGATGGTACTTACCCTGTCTTGTCATTTGTTCTGATGGTACTTACCCTGTCATGTCATTTGTTTTGATGGTACTTATCATGTCTTGTCATTTGTTCTAATGGTACTTACCATGTCGTGTCATTTGTTCTGATGGTACTTACCCTGTCATGTCATTTGTTCTGATGGTACTTACCTTGTCTTGTTCCCTGCTGCTGTCAAACATGAGACCAAGGTAGGCAAGATGAAATACTGCTAACAGTGCAAAACACACATTTGTCAGTAGTACAAGTGGATGATACTGCAGAGAAAAGGAAAAGATATTAGTGACATTATGGAGCTCATCATTTGCTCTGGATACAGATTCAATTCAGAAATCTTACAGAGTAATGGAGACACTTGTTTACAGCTATGGTAACCTCCATTAGTTGTAACATTACAAGTTCACTTATTGTGGCTAGGGTAACGATATGGAACCCCAAATAAACATTTATTCAAATAGTTGCACCTACAGAAATAAATGTATCTATTTATAATTGAAGATAGGTTCAATTCAATTGAAGATATGTTGTATTTGTACCTAGGTACAATTCAATTGGAGATATGTACCTATCTTCAATTAATTGTACCGATCTTTAATTGAATAGAACCAATCTTCAATTTATTGTACCTATCTTCAATTATTTGAAGATAGGTACAATTAATTAAGTATATGTTAATTTGGCGTTCCATATAACCAGTTATAAATCCTTACTATGGTGAAATGCGACTTCTGCTCTTTCTTTCTTTGATTTTTCACATTCAAAATGTACTACAAGAAAATCAACTTCCAGATCTAATATAAAGCAGCTTAAATTTTAAATGTTTTTGAGTGAGAAGTAATAGTATCCACATTTAGACAGGGAGAAATATAAGGATAATGATTTTAGCTGACTTACTGATGTATACTCATGACCACAGCTGTCAGGGCACGTCTTGGCTTGGATACAGGCATTGAATATTCTGGACAACTTATTCCTAAACACTGCCAGTTAAGAAAAAGAAATATTTAGCAAACGTTTTTTATCTAATATTTCAAATTCCAAATTGTGACACTTATTAAACAAGAGGCCCAATAGGCCTGAATCGCTCACCTAGTATTAATTTCACACTTGTAATCTTAAAAGTGGACTAAAATACAGCTACAGGCAATATATCAGTGTTTGGTTCAAAAGAAGTTATTGAAAGATGAAAGTCAACATTAAGTTGAACAGACTTTTATAGCCTTTCATCCCAGCATGCTTCTGGCCAAATATCATTACCCTGGACCTTTAGGTTATTCAGAAATTGTTTAAAGATTTCAACATATTTGACCCCTGTGACCTTGAAAAAGGGTGAAGGTCATTTATTTCAACAAACTTGGTAGCCCTTCATCCCTGCATGTTACTGGCCAAATACCATCACCTAATTTAAGGCCTCTTGGTTATTCAGAAGCTGTTTAAAGGTTTTAAACATATTTGACCCTTGTGACTTCTAGTATAAGTCAAGGTCATTCATTTGAACAGACTTGGTAGCCCTTCATCCGTGCTTGTTACTGGCCAAATATCATCACCCTAGGCCTCTTGATTATTCAGAAGAAGTTGTTAAAAGACCATGTGACCTTGAAAATGGACAAATGCCATTCATTTGAAAAAACTTAGCCCTTCATCCCAGCATGCTATGGCCAAATATCATTATCCTAGGCCTTTTGGTTATTTATATTAGTGTGTTTGAAAAATTCGAGGAAGATTTCGTTTTGCCATCGAAATGATCAGTATGTAAATTCTACTTTCACTTTCAAATAACTTAGAGGGCCTAATAAAATCCATTCATATTAATAAACGTTGTTTTTTATGCTTAGTTAATGAAGGAAAAAATCAGTACATGGGAAAAATATCATAATAACCGATATATCATAATAAGTGGGTTCCACTGTATAACAAATGATGCCAAGTGTAACATCCTGCACAAAAAAATAATCTAAAACATGATGGTTACTATTGTAGAAAATGTGGTGTGTGTAATTACACTACGTCTCGACATGAAGTAGGGAGCTGCTCTCAGGTCCCAAAATCAGGTACAGTGTGGAGGAAAAGCACTCACGTGTTGTCGTGTTGAGATCGGTATGTAAAATGTCACATCAATGTTATCGGTGCAGTCAGGAGTCTAAGAGAGATAACTCTCCCCAAAATTCACTACACTATTGTAAATGACAATTTTATTAAAAACTGCAAACTATTAAATTGGTATTTAATTTACTCACCAAATTCAACATATGAATAAAATCCTAGTGAGAAAAGAACAGCAGCTAACTGGAAATTCAAACCCTGCAATCAAAACAGTTTTCCATCACACAACCAGAACAATGTCAAGTTTGAATCTTTATCAAAGCTTTTAGTTCATATTTAACATTTTAATTACAGGAACAAACTGTTTTCCAAATAATGACTAGAAAAACCTAATGTCCTGTACTGAAAACAATGAAATATACACTGTACCTACAGAACTCCATAAAAACCCAACAAATCAATGTTTGATTTAATGTGAACATGGCCAGTAATCAAGCAATACTGTTTTTACAATTAATGATAAACTCATAAAGTTAGTAGTATAAGAAAAAATTATAAGCGTTATAAAGCAGGATTGTTTAGAACCAGAATCTGTCCACTTACATGAAGTAAAGAACTAGCAGTGTATGTAAGAATCACAGCCACAAATGTTCCAAATATCCGAGATGGTTTAAACACATCTGGAATAAAAAATGCAAAAAATGTGAGCCTTGAGTCTATATATAGTAGGCTAGGGAAGACTACTTCATATTTTAACATATTTTCATACCATATGAAAAGCTTTATCATTTTGACTTCTACTAGTGACCCTGATTGTCATGGTTGTACATATACTGTAATCAGTATCAGTTTGATGATGTTGATTTCTATAATTGATATAGATGTGATGGGTACAACACTTACATGTTTTAAGCCAGTAGTGCATTGGAAGATTCCAGTAGGTGACCACCTCTACCAATGACCGCGGCACCTCAATATGGTAAGGCTTGGACACTGACCTACAACATAGGAGAAACACATCTATACTTCTGTGTATGTGGCCCCTCTTTACCTCTAAAAGGTGGGTCTTACCAAACTACAATATAAGGCATAGTTCTGTGTATGTGGCACCTCTATACCTCTAAATGGTGGGCCTAACTTACCTACAATATAAGGCATAGTTCTATGTGTGTGTCACCTCTTTACCTCTAAATGGTGGGCCTAACCAACCTACAACATTAGGCATAGTTCTGTGTATGTGGCACCTCTATACCTCTTAATGGTCGGCCTAACTTACCTACAATATAAGGCATAGTTCTGTGTGTGTGTCACCTCTATACCTCTTAATGGTGGGCCTAACTTACCTACAATATAAGGCATAGTTCTGTGTGTGTGTCACCTCTATACCTCTAAATGGTGGGCCTAACCAACCTATAGCTACATCGGCATACTTTTATGCATTATATAATATAACTTATCGAATATGATTTGATAGTCATAAGATATAGAATATGGGCTGTAACTCTTGTATTAGCAAGTACAATGTACAAATGTTAGGCAATTCCATCTATATATGTTTTTGATCAGAACACTATAATAGCACGGCTATACAATTTATAAGATTACACTGTACTCATAGTCCTCTGAACATTTTTAAGTAATCTAGTATACAGTTTACATGTGTGCATTTTGTTACTTTTCTTCCAGAATATTTGTCTAAAACATACTTAAAAGAATACACTAGTATTATAACAATACATAATATGCTAGTTTATCTCATTGATACGTACTCTAAAGTAATTTTTCTGACAGTTGCATTATGCACACCTGAACAACACACTAAATTAAGTTTTAAGTAGGTATGTCCTTTTAAAGGCAAGCCTTTACAATAGTTTAAGCTAATGTATATAGTAGCACTGTCATTCTACACACTGTTATAATAAAAGCTACACATCGATGATCATGGTTGATTGCACTCCAACATAGACTTTCAGTGCATGTACAGGCTGGATTCTACCCTACAGATAGTAAGCTTGTCACTGAAAATCAAACTGTGGTACATCGGTGTGGCTAATTGTGGTTCTACAGGCCTATAGGGACACTCAATACATTCGTACAGGTATGGACTTGATCAGCGTGAATTGTGAATCGATACAGCTATATTAGGACAGTAAAGGGAGATAATTGTTTAAAGGCTTGACACTACTGCCAATCCTGTCTGCAGTACATCGCTATGTCAACAGGTGTATATACTGTACAAGGTTACTGGTATCACAGACATATGATTTACTTGTGACAACCTTATTCACATTATTCAATCTACAAACAGCTAATTAGTATTCAAACTTTACTGGGTATCAATTCCAGGAGATTCTGTATGTGTATTAAACCACGAACAAACATTGATTGATATCAACCAGGATTCTGTCATTGTAAACATGGGGTACATACCTAGTGTGATTTGGTTAGTATAGAAACACAGACAGTGATTACAAATATCATACAGACAGTGATTACATATCAACCAGGAGATTCTGTTAGTGTAAACTCAAGTGGTTCACAAAAACAAGGAGATTCTTCCAGTGTAAACTTTACACTAGAAATGTTTATGATGTGATCAATATGAATGTAGTGATCTGGAAATCATAGTTGAGATTTTGAGCTTTTCGTGTGGACTGGTATTTTCTGTGGGACAAACACTCAATCAGTATGGACTTGTACCAGATTTATATATAATTTGTACCGTGCAAACACCTGCTAATTATACAATGGCCTGTAAGTCGATACAAGGCAGTGGTGAGATCAGACAGCTTGTTGATCAACTGGAAAACCACCAGCTCACTCTCAAGAAGGATATAAAAACTGCAGAAGAGAAACTGCAGGTCACTTCCATGAGGTTTAGGAATCTTGCAGGAGAGATGGAAGAAAAAGTGGAAAAGTGCAAGAAAGAGATGGATGTAATTATCAGCAAGTATGTCAAACTTTGTGAGAAATTAGAGAAGGAAAGCGAGGAGCTATTGACCAATCACATTGCAGACCTGGAGGAGAGGTATGGACGGTCGGTGGAGCTAGTCCTGGACTGTAATCAGGCCCTGAGGTCCGGCCAAGCCATCCAACTGTCTGGTGAACAGCTCTACACACCATCAGCTACGCCACACCTTCCTACTCTCCAGTTTGATCCTTGTTTGGACAGTACTGACCACCTCAAACAAGCAATAGGAAAGCTTACAACTGCTACAGACAAGAACACCGCTTCAACAGATAAAGGACAAGCAAAACCTAAAGTGGGGTTTTCAGCAGCCAAGTCAATGGTCACTAAAGAGGTCAGCTCACCCCCACAAAATCAACTTCTTGATATGCCCCGCATTCTTAGTGAGTTTAAGTGCCCAGGACGTGTGTCCTCTATCTGTCCCAACCCCAGGGGACAAGCCTGGACACGCCATGCCCAGACCCTGACCCTCCTAGACAAAACAGGAAAAGTAAAACATAAAGCAGAGTGTTCAGACTGCATAACAGACATCAGTCTGGACCCCAAAACACACAAATTGTGGCTGTGTACCTGGGGACGAAAGATCATGACCTGTGACCCCGGCTCACTACAGGAAGTATTTACAACTGACAGTGTTCCCTGGTGTCTATGTGTCACAAACACAGATCATGTGGTTGTTGGAATGAAGCACAAGATAACAATGTTCACCAGTCAAGGACTTATGGTATGCACTACCAGTACCAAAGAATCGGGAATAGTCCGACCAGAACGCATTTCCCAGTGTCCCGTAACAGGAAACATCGCTTTAGTGGACACTGACAACAAAAGCAACAGTCTCATTCTGGACAACAGTCTGAAAGTTATACATAATCACATCGGTGGAGGAGCCATGGCGTCGTCTATTCGACCAGTGGACCTTGTATATGATTGCTATGGTAACCTTGTGCTGGCTGACAGCGAAAATAAGAGTCTGGAGCTGCTGAATGGTACAGGGGAATACATACAGACCCTCCAAGTAATGTCAGGACCTATCAAGGCCATCGGGACTGACACAGAAAATGTGCTGTGGGTTGCAGTGTTCAATAAACAGAGGGACAGTTACCAAATCCAAGTACTACAGTACTATAACACTAAACAATGTTAATCAGGTCAAACTTCTACAGTACATCATCAAGTGATCAGGACTGCTGAGAAAGTCTGGCTACATGGCTATGGGCGGCCATGAACATGATGACTACAGCAACAGTTGTTTTGGTTCTGTGTGCTCTGTTTATGGAAACAATGACTTTGACCTTAGGTCTGGACCTGAAAGGTTATCCTAAGTAAACACTGTAAGGCAGTGGTGTATTGACCATTGAGTGTTCTAGGGCCGAGGAACTTAAGCTGTGGCTTAGAAACCAATTTTTATTTATATATATTCACTTTTTTAGTAGGACTAGGAATAGTGATAAAGAAAGTGCCGTCGCTGGGGCTCGAACCCGTGACCCTTGGGTCTCAAGCCCGATGCTCTACTGCGCTGAGCTAAAGGGAAACTCCCTACAACTGACACTTGTAAGGCAACCTAATCAATGCACATCTTTTAAAACTTAATCAGGTCATTTTGTTTAACTCTGAGGATATCTCAAGTGCAGTTTTGTCTTCAGTTACAAGAAAATAGCTGTGATAAGTTTACATTTTGTTAGTGCCTTTGATATAGCTAGTCATCCAGCTATGTGATTCCAGTTCTCGGGATGCTTCAAGGCGTTATATTTGATAAATAATAGCATTAATGTCTTATGCACTGTTCCATCAGATAAATGTGTTAGAGTGTGTTAGTTAAATGATTTTACTTTCATGATAGAAGATATTTATATTTTAAATCAACTGAAACGCATTCAAAGTTTACAGTATAGTACTTATAAGCAGCCATCTTGTCAATCAGTCCCCAAATTGAACATGTACAATTGCTGGCCAAAAGAAACCTACTTAATAATGAAATTGAAGAAATATCTCTTTCAGACTTTCTGAGAAATAATGATAACAAATTTAAACTGTGAAAAACATATTATCTCTGAAATTTATATATCTTACATTAAACTAATTTTTTTTTAGTTATGAATATACACTATGAAACAAGATAGTTATATTCCTTATATTTTAAAAGCAATGGAAAAAGGAAGTTGGTGAAATACTTTTTTTTCAAGTTTAATGTTTCATAATCACACCCTCTACTTTAGGGGTTAAAGATCAATTTCAATTAAACTGAGGTTTATATCAATGAAGGAGCATGGAAAATGGCAGAATCTAGCTGATAGATGTGTATATTTCAGTTTATTGAGTATACGTTTTGGCTCATGATCCAAACTAATCGTGTTTCTTGGATAGCAAATGTCAATTAATACCACATTTACAAAAAAAATATAGAATATAGAGTGTTTAATTATTAAACTGTATTAAGTGTGAACAATGAGCACAATTATATTTGTCGACCAGTTTCAAACTTCTTTAGGACAAAAAGATTTTTTTACCCCAGAAGAACATAAATTGTGGGTGCAATGTTCAATTTATATTTGTGTTTGTCATTATGACATCCCGCCTAGGATGTTTGGTTCGGTTTATATTATTTAGTGGTAAGAAATAACGGTGCTCAGAACAAGCAGAATGTCATGTTTACTGGCGTAAAAGATTCTGCATGAGTTGCTGTCACAAAAGAAATCACAAATACAATAAATAAAATATGAAACATTTTTGTGTGTATATTTCTATTTTAATTCTGCATTCTTTTCGTATAAATGTGCTGTCAGTGACCTGCATTTAAAAGACATTGGTCTTATCAACATAGGATCCTGATAAGAAATGACCAGATCAGTTGTGACAAGAAAAGGGGACAAAGGGGGGCAATTCTTACAACAATTTTGGTCACCAGTGGTGTTGACAATAAACTTTTAGACAATGTTTAATTATATATTCTAGTCATGAAAAAATTACATTATTCCACTATAACCTTTTGTGTTTGATGACAAGAAAACGAGAGATGGTCATATTCTATAGTTCATCATGAAATGATCACTCCAGCTGACGGGGAAAAATAGTTTTCAAGTGTACGTCAGAACAGATCGTTAAGATTAGTCACCACAAGGAGTTAGTGATATTCTTCACTATAATGAAAAACGTACAACAAAACTTCCACAGTGTCTACTTACCAGCGAGATTCATTATCCTTGTAGAAGGAGCCCCTAAATCCGCAGAGTAAGGCAGTCGTCTCTGAGGCAAAGCTCACAAAGTAGTGACTAAAACGGAAAGACTGAGCATCTCTGTAGGCCAGTATCCACCTAAAACAACCAGGATTGGGGATCACTTGATAGATCATCACTTTTTTTAAAAAGATCAATGATTGATCATTTATTGATCATGGGGTTAAAGGAAAATAACAGGAGAGTATTCACCAGAACGGGTAAAACATGGAGGATATTTTCTTTAATCAGCTACAGACAGAAATGTTGTCTAAATATTGTTTATGGTAAAACTTAAAAGAATAAAATTGTTTGTCAATTAAATTTTCAGATCTGCACCAAATCTTATTAATCAACTCTTGAAATTTGTTCATGCTACAAGTCAAACCATGTTTGATCATGAAAATCTTATCGATTATTCATAGTTTCATAGAAATAAAATGATCAAACATCAATTAAATTGATAAATAATGAGATGTACAAGACATAGAAATGTGAAGGTGGTACTCAGAATGAGTGTGAAGGGAGATCTAGAGACGGGTGAAAAATTACATGTGGGGACACAGATGGGGACATACCTGTAGTTGGTACTCATGGTGTGAAAGTGTGTCGGGAGACAGGAGACATATGTAGTAAAACTAGTTGGTACTCAGGATGTGTCAGTGTGTGGGGAAACAGGAGACATGTGTAGTTGGTTCTCAGGATGTGACGGTGTGGAGAAACAGGAGACATGTGTAGTTGGTTCTCAGGATGTGACGGTGTGTAGATACAGGAGACATGTGTTGCTTGTTCTCAGGATGTGTCAGTGTGGAGAGACAGGAGACATGTGAAGTTTGTACTCAGGATGTGTCAGTGTTTGGGGAGACAGGAGCCATGTGTAGTTGGTTCTCAGGATGTGTCAGTGTTTGGTGAGACAGGAGACATGTGTAGTTGGTTCTCAGGATGTGTTAGTGTTTGGGGAGACTGAAGACATGTGTAATTGGTTCGCAGGTGTGTCAGTGTGGAGATACAAGAGACATGTGCAGTTGGTTCTCAGGATGTGTCATTGTGTGGGGAGACAGGAGACATGTGCAGTTGGTACTCAGGATGTGTCAGTCTGGAGATACAGGAGACATGTGTAGTTGGTTCTCAGGATGTGACAGTGTGGAGATACAAGAGACATGTGTAGTTGGTTCTCAGGATGTGTCAGTGTGGAGATACAAGAGACATGTGTAGTTTGTTCTCAGGATGTGACAGTGTGGAGAGACAAGAGACATGGGTAGTTGCTTCTCAGGATGTGTCAGTGTGGGGAGACAGGAGACATCTGTAGTTGGTTCTCAGGATGTGTCAGTGTGGAGATACCGGAGACATGTGTAGTTGGTTCTCAGGATGTGACAGTGTGGATATACAGGAGACATGTGTAGTTTGTTCTCAGGATGTGTCAGTGTTTGGAGAGACAGGAGACATGTGTAGTTTGTACTCAGGATGTGTCAGTGTTTGGGGAGACAGGAGGCATGTGTAGTTTGTACTCAGGATGTGTCAGTGTTTGGAGAGACAGGAGACATGTGTAGTTTGTACTCAGGATGGGGCAGTGTTTGGGGAGACAGGAGACATGTGTAGTTTGTTCTCAGGATGTGTCAGTGTGGAGCGACAAGAGACATGTGTAGTTGGTTCTCAGGATGTGACAGTGTGGAGATACAAGAGACATGTGTAGTTGGTTCTCAGGATGTGTCAGTGTTTGGGGAGACTGAAGACATGTGTAATTGGTTCTCAGGTGTGTCAGTGTGGAGATACAAGAGACATGTGCAGTTGGTACTCAGGATGTGTCATTGTGTGGGGAGACAGGAGACATGTGCAGTTGGTACTCAGGATGTGTCAGTGTGGAGATACAGGAGACATGTGTAGTTGGTTCTCAGGATGTGACAGTGTGGAGAGACAGGAGACATGTGTAGTTGGTTCTCAGGATGTGACGGTATGGAGAGACATGAGACATGTGTAGTTGGTTCTCAGGATGTGTCAGTGTTTGGGAAGACAGGAGACATGTGTAGTTGGTTCTCAGGATGTGACGGTATGGAGAGACATGAGACATGTGTAGTTGGTTCTCAGGATGTGTCAGTGTGGAGATACCGGAGACATGTGTAGTTGGTTCTCAGGATGTGACGGTATGGAGAGACATGAGACATGTGTAGTTGGTTCTCAGGATGTGTCAGTGTTTGGGGAGACAGGAGACATGTGTAGTT